AGAGAGAGAGAGAGAGAGAGAGAGAGAGAGAGAGAGAGAGAGAGAGAGAGTGAGTGAGAGGGAGAGAAAGAGGCCGCAGCCTGGTCACCACAATTGACCTATCTAAAAGCTATGTGCTGTAAGTTATCAGAAAACGAGTAGAGTTTCGGTTGAAACTCAAGATCATGTATAACAAACGCTCGTGACTTGTAGCGTGAGCTTCCAACTGAAGATCGGGTTTCGCACAGGTACACTTGATTGGTGTGTTTGAAACTGAATCTGCAGTTTGCAGCTTACTCTTGATTGGTTCGCATGGAACCAAGCCAGCGAATTGGCTAGCTAATTACTCTCCTTGAAATTATTTATTGATTTATTTGTTTATTTATTTATTTATCTCAAGGATCACACTTTTATCATATGATTTTCAAGTAGATCTCGTTACTCAGCTTCCAGAGCGGCGAGAGAGACGGCGCAGGTAAGTGAGGGTGAAAAGAGAGTAAATGATATTGCAGATCACTTCAGGCAGCAGCCTCTCATTGGCGGGTCAGGCAGCAGCCGCTCGTTGGCGGGTCAGGCAGCAGCCTCTCATTCGCAGATCAGGTAGCGGCCTTTGATTGGGAGATCAGACAACATCTACTCATTGGCTAATCAAATAGCAGCCACTCACTGGCTAGTTCTGCACTCTCTTCTCATTGGCCGATCAGGCAATGTCCACTCATTGGTTGATCAGGGACTCTCTACTTATTGGCAGATCATTCGCATAGTGCATTTGCAACAGTGCTTTCAACGCCCCCACTCCCCTGCTGGTCGCTGCGGACCTCGGAAGCGGGCGCAACGAGTGAGAGGCGTTGTTGCCCTTGGCTTCAGCGAGCTGCAGGCGACACCTTCCCGGGATTCCTCACAACGTTGCCGCAGCAGTTCGTCGCTGTCTGCATTCTCCACAACATTCTCATCGACGCGGGCATCCCGTTCGACGACAATCTGCTCTGGGAGGTCGGGCCGGATGGTGTTCGTCGGATGGTGGATCTTGGGATGGATCGTCCCGTGAGGCAGATGTGCATGGAGTCCTCCACAGGGGATGCCCTCATTCTACGTGACGCTATGGCTGAGCGAATGGCGACACAGTGCAAATGGCGTGGCGAGCGAAGGGATCGGCCTTGATGGCGTGGCTGAGGCGATTAAATGCGGCCATTTCCCGCAGGGTGGAAGGTAGAAATCGTGGTAGAAGACGCGGGGTGCTGTCGCGCAACGAGCTGTCGCCGTTGTGTTTGTCGACCATCGGTCGGATTTCGCAAGTAGTGTGGCGCTGTCGGGTGAGTGGCTGCGCCGGGGGCGGACTGCGTTCGCGCAGTTGAAGACGTAGGAGAGGAGGGGCGATGTGAGAAGCGCCCACGTGCAGACAAGTGGTTGTTGTGTAGTGCGCTGTCGCTACAGCGACCTGTGAGGGTGGCAGGGTTATCGTGTCGATGTTTGGTTTTATTGTTGTGTTTTGGTTGATCTTTTCACTGAAGTCGATTAATTACCCGTTTCGTTTTTCACGCTGTCTCCAATTACGTGGTTTTTTTTTTTTTTTCTTTTTTTTTCTTTTTTTCTTTCTTCGACGTTCTTATTTTTTTGGTTTCTTATTGTTGTCCTCTTTTCATGTTCTCACGCACAACGATCTGCCATGCTCCTTATTGTCTGCGGCGTGGATGGTGTGCGGCTTGTCTTTCTCCTTCACCAACAACGACATACACACAATTGCAGGACGGGGTTGTCTGTTGTTTGTCATGGCACATTCGCTTCCAACATGCGTGATGATGTGTGTGGACAAACATCGGTTAGCACTTTTTCCAAGCATTCAATCTTCAAAAACAGACAATCCTATTATGGATGTGTACTCCAACGGATCATGACAACAACAAACTGGACCACGCAGGCGCGAAGAACGAAAAATCATTGCCACCCTTATTTCTCGCATGTACAGAACCGAAGAAAAACAAAAAGAACTCCTAACTGAAGGATGAACATATTAATCAAAACAAAAGTCCAAAAGAAACCCCCAGCCCGCATGCGCTTGCTGTTGTGACACCGAACATCGAAACGTCCACCCCCAACGACCACCGACGTCGTTTGCACTAGAAGCAAACCCTGGCGCACACCCTGTTTCTAATTGTACACGAAAGTGCACACATGCACCCACGTCATCAAACCTGTCCCAACGCACCCAAAGGCATCATGAACCCCCCGCGCTCATATCGTCGTTGACAGCGGCGTCGTCGTCGTCTTCCGGTGGCCCTGTGCCCAACCAATCGAGCTTTTGAGCCTCCATTGGGGAAGACAAAGTGGCGTCGTGCGAGAATTTCATGCCGATTGACGCCCAGTCCGGGATGTACATTGGAGGGGCCAGCAAGGTGATCGGGGGTTTCGCCAGCTTGTCCGTGATGGTAGTTGAGGCCTGCACGATGTGGCGACGCACGTCGAACGAGCGATGCATGAATGCGATTAATGCGGCTTTCGCCGTTAGCTGGACGAATACCCACGCGTCGTAATGGGCGCGACGATCGTCACCTCCCATCCGCATAAGCCACATCGTTGCGGCAAGCATTACCCTCATCGCCTCTGCTACACTCTTCAGCCTCTCATGCGACACCCAACCGCCGTCGACTCCCTCCGCCGTGCTCACGGCACTCGTGAACGCACCCACCAGTCTTTGGACGCTCGCTTCCTCATCCGCCGCCAGCTCGTCGTCCTCGTGCCTGTCTTCGATGTGAGCGCCGACGAACCACAGTGGCAGTTTCATGTCCATATTGAGCGTAGTGTGGAAAACCATGGGGCTCACACACACACGCCAGTCTTCCCCCATCCAGATCGCGCGCGCGATGTTAGTCGCCGCATGGTTCAACGCATACCCGTACGCAACGTGGTAACCCCGTTGCCTGCTCGCGGACTTGAACACCCACCCGTGGATCACCCGCAGAGCGATGGTCTGCACCTTCAGCGCCCTGTCTTGCGCAGCGCTGAACTCCGATTCGTCCTCGATTTTGTGTTGCGGGATGGTGGTGTGTGGCAGGACGATGCTGTGTCGAATCGCAGGAGGCTGCACACCGCGCGCCACCGCCACAAGATACAGCCGCGCGTCCGGCATGGGCTTCACAATGGCGTTTCCCTCCGTCTCGTTCCAGAAACGAATGTCATCCACCCACCCGCGTCGATCCCTTCACGCGCGCTCCGCTGCCGCACCCTGTTCGCCACCACTTCATTGTCCTCCCCGACTCCAGCGACGGCGCCAGCCGTGCTCCCTTCGCCAGCATCCCCCCCCCCTGCCCTGGCTCCTTCCACCGCGTGCGAAGCCCCCACAGTTGCGGCCCCGCCTGACCTCCCCCCTTCACCAGCCTGGGACGCACCACCCGCCGTTGCCGCGCCTGCCTTTGGAACTTCCGCACCGCGCGCCGCAACCATCGTCGATGCCCCGCGATCGTCCTGCACAGGAGATCGGCTGGCGATCCCCTGAGCAATGCCTTATGCGGCGACGCCGACTTCTGTGGCCGTCGTTTGTTGCCGGGTCGATGGCGTTCGGTCGCGGACGAATACCTCTTGCGTGGCAGGGGGTTCGTTGACACATGGCAAAGGCGCACGGTTCTGCTGCGTGGCGTCACACCCCCCGGCTCGGCCCGTCGCCAGTCGAGCGGTGACATTGGCGTCTTGTTGACTTGCCGACGGCCCTTTGCGCTACGCTCTCGCCGACGTCATCGATCCGGAGGGCTGCAGTCTGCCTTCCGGAGGACTTGCGCTTCATTGGGATTTCGTCTGATTCGGCGAAGTCGCTTTCCCCGTGTGAATCGTCCCCCTCCACCACCCAGTCTTCCGCGTCTGCGTGTATCGCCATCGCAGAGGTACATTGGATGAGCTTCCTCTGTTTGTTCGACACGTGGCGGCCCCTTTTATCCCGGAGAGACGCGTCGACCGCGTTTTTCCCGGCAGACCTCCCACGTCGAGAACCCCGGGACGCCATGGCGCGCGACACACCCTCCACGACACGCAAGGATGGTGGGTGGGGTGACGGCCCGTATCACCGCCAAGAAGAGCGGCGATGATGGGGGAATAGAGCACGACGTCGAAGTCGACAAAGACGAAAGAGCACCCCCACCAGGGCGTTTACGAAGGCCTCGGACGGCGCGACAACACAGATGGTGAAGAAGGCGACAAGGTTCGCATGAGGGGTGAAGGCTGGATCGACGTCGGCGCAGTCCGAAGATGGCGTGGAAGGCGAAGGGGCGTATGTTTTGAAGACGAACACGATGATGGTGAAAAAGGGTATGAAGGCGCACAGAAAGACGTTGGCGCAGTGCGAAGACGGCGTGGAAGGCGAAGGCTGGATCGACTGCGGGTGCGGCAAGTAAGGCGGCGAAGACAGTGTGGAAGGCGACGTATGTGAGGGCGTTCGCAACGAGCGGGTGGACGACGACAAAGGATTCAACGGCGGGGACGAATACGACGGCGACGTGGCGAGAAGGAAGCGAGTGAAGAAGGCGACAGGGCGACTACTGAGTGGCCCGCGTGGTCACTGCGATGTTTGCTGTTGTGTTCTCGGGTCTGCAAGCTTATAAAAAGACGTCCCCTGCGTGGTGGAGGGCGACGACTGGACACCCTTCATGACTGCAAAAACGACGACTCCATCCCCCAACGTTCTGAATCATTCTACCATGGGCCGTTTCTCGGGCGCGGAAATGAAAGGCCAAATGTTGCGGGGCACAATATTGGGGGACGTCGACCACGCCGCACATATTGTGGCCACCCTTCGTCAATCGTGCCTACAATGGAGCCCCTCGCCCAGAAGGCAGCCCCCAAACCAGTCGCCATGAACAGCCACCCAACCTCCCGCCTGGCATCTTAGCTACCAGGAGGATTGAGCACTCGCGGGAGACTCACTTGCCCTCCACCCCTCATAACCAGCCCTCCCCTCAAACGATTCAACCGCCAACCACCCCCCATCGAAAAAAAAAAAAAAAAAAAGGAGGGCGGAGAGTGTTTGCGGGTTGGTGAATGGCGGGGGACTTGTGGACACCCGCTTTCGTCCCGCCGATGTCCCCCTACCGCCGCCCGGACGTTTGGCAACCGCGAACACACCCCCGGTTGGATAACAACAAAAAATAGGATACCAGCAAACATCCGCATTTGCAAGTCTCCAACTATCATTAATGGACATCCGCATTCAGACGACAAGTTCCAATCTCCAAGGGATCATATCATGCACATCAACGACTTTTTTTGCCTGTTCACGACATCAACAACAACACTCCACAATTGGACGACATTCAAGACAAAACCTTTATCTACTTCTGGTACGCCTCTCGATCACTACCACAAGTGAGTGACTGCCACGACACACACACACACACACAC